TGTAGAAAATTAACCATTCTTTTAAAGCAATTATTTAGACCCAGAAATTGTATAGTAGCTTATCATGTACATAGGGAAGAGCTGGTGTATGATATCTTGTACATAGTGAATTCTTTGTTGAATGGATTCATTTTCATAATGCCCTCTCCCTTCTCTTCAGAGTTCATCTTATTTCTCTCTCTCTCACAAGTCCCCAAGAGCTTAGTTGTTGTCTCCGCTAAATCATTATTCTGAATGCTCTTCTTCTGCTTATGGTGGGATTTTCTTGCAAACATCATTTGGCATGCTTACAGACATGGTACTTGTAATTGTAATATCTGGGAGTTCTACCACCTTCACTTGTAAGCTGTAAGTTGTAACATAACCATATGATCATCATTCCTACTTAAACCGGTAGGCTATGGGTGGGGGTTTCATAGTTACACTAACACTCTTCTTTCGTATCACATTTTAGTCAAAGATAGAGTGGTGGTACATCCAATGCACCGATGCATTGCACATTTTAGTCATTGAATTAAAAATTTAAAAGAAAAAAAAATTCGAAGTCATTGGATTAAAAAAAGTCGAAGAGTAAAATAACAATAGTCCAGCAGATAGTAACATACAAAATGCAAACAGAGGATCTGAATGCTTGATGTGCGCTTGTTCAATCGGCGTCACTTCTTTGTTTTTGCTCGCTCACTGACATTTATAATGCACGGTTAAAATTCAAAGTCAAACAATAATTTCTTTTTTGTTGTAAAATAATGTGGAGCCCACAAGTAAGCAATGAAAAGAAAAAAGTAAATGAATGTGAAGACTTTGTGTATGGCCTAAGGAATAGGTGCAGCAAATGTGGTTGTAATATCTCCATTTATAAAAGGAGGGTCTCAATAAGAAAGGAAAACATACCAATCATAAAAGAAAAGTGAGAGGGAAATCAAAAAGTTAAGAGTGTTTTTTTAGTAAGATTCAAGAGAGAAAGTTATATCAGTGTAATACTATAAAAGATAAATATAATCTCACTCCAATATTTAGAGGTATTCTCACACTTTATCTATTTTATAACATGTTATCAACATGATAGTCTCTCAATTGGTTTTTGGGGTGAAACCTTAACTTTCTTCATGGTATCAGAGCGGGTTATCCACGTGTGAAAACTCAATGGCCACACGTGCTCCACGTCACCCAAAATGTGTTGTCCACGTGTTAAGCTTGAAAATTCGCCACACGTGCGGGGGCGTGTGAAAATGTGAAGGTAAAGAGTCCCACATTGGAAAGTTGAAAAACATAGTAAGAGCTTATAAGGAGTTGGGCTACTCCCCCCATTGCCAATTGGTTTTAGGGTGAAACCTCAACTTCCTTCATAGTATCAGAGCAGGTTACTCACGTGTGAAAGCCCAACGGTCACACATGCTCCACGTCACCCAAAATGTGTTGTTCACGTGCAAGGATTAAAATATCGGCCGTGCAGATAATATCGGGCCTCCAATTTACAAATATTTCGGGGGATATTCGTTATTGTTTTAGGTTTCAGGAAAAAATCAACAAAAATGACAGATATAGGCATTGAAACACATAATTTTTGTGTAAAACTTTCATAGATGTTATGTACATTATCAAGGAATGTATTGAACAAATAAAACTCAAAATTTACTAATAATAAGATATACATATGATGAAATATAAGTGGTATGTAGTGCGCATTAATGAAAAGTTTGAAAATAAAATGTTAATTAGAATGAATAAACCATGCATAAATCCATAGTTTGTTTAAACATTGTATTACAATTTAGATAAGTGTCCATCTACATAAATGAAGAGCTTCAATGAGGTTCAAACAATGAGGAACAACCATCTAAATTCATACAATAGTTATACAAAGTCATGTTACCCGAGCAGTTTGTAAGTCATGTTTGAACATAATGCACATAAGTCTCTCTTGAGCTCCCTATTGTCCTTCCATATATGGAATAGTTATGATTAACCAACTAGTAGGTCCATAATTTTTTTTATCATCTTGAGCTTCATAACTAGTTCCACTATAATTAGACATGACATAAATATAGACATAGACATCATAAGATTCATTTGAGTTAGTATTAGGTCTAGTTCCTATGCTCATAGATCCAAAACTGAACGCTGTGTCCTCTTCAGATGGATTGGAGATATGTGGATAGTGGACTGTGCATAAATTCTTCATATTAATAAATTATAGGGTTTTGAGCAATGATTAGCTATTTTTGGGTTTCAATTTGCTTTAATTGCCTTCAAAACCTCTGATTTTTTTTTGGGTTCTGTTATGAGTATCGGGAAATATCGGGGATATCGGCAAAATATCGGGGATATCGGCAAAATATCGGGAATATCGCACTTATCGGGGATATATCGTCGATACAGGGGAAGATATGGCCTTACCCCCCAGTATCGGTGTCGACAGTTGAAAACACCGATATATCGGCAGATATATCGCTGTATCGGCCGATATTTTAATCCTTGTCCACGTGTTAGGCTTGAAAATTCGCCACACGTGCGGGGGCGTGTGAGAATGTGAAAATAAAGAGTCCCACATTGGAAAGTTGAGAAACCTAGCAAGAGCTTATAAGGGGTTGGGCTACTTCCTCCATTGCCAATTGGTTTTGGGGTGGAACCTTATTTCTCTGTCTCATTTCCGTCATATGTCTGCTCTCACTTTACTATTATGACGACATACATACGTTCTTTTTTGTATCATCGTAATTTTTATGTTGTTTCATTCATGTTTGTTTAATTTATTTTTTTGTACTATAATTTAGAATGGTGCGGTATTATCCCTCATCCTACTATTTTATGGTGGTGTAATTCTATTGTCCATCATATTGTAACATATATTATTGTAATAAAAATGGTGGTGTGATTTTAAAGCCCATCCTAATAGTAATATATATTTATTTGTCAATAATTCTTACTAGTGGAATTCCTTTAGTAATAGCCATTATTAAAGGTTGACCCTTAGTAATAATTATTACTAACCACTGACCCTTACTAAAACATATGATTTCTTTTATGCTACTAACCTTTCTGTTTATTTATTTTAATAGTTTATTATATACTGGATATATAAAAGTCACAATTACACAACTTGGACGATGCAATTAAGCATATGTAAATACCAATGTGATGTGGTAAATTCGATATATAATATTTTATCCATATGTCATTTAATTTTGTTAATTTTGTTACTTTACTTTATTATTGTGAAAGAAATCATCTGTTAACATACATGTACAATGGGAGCCTTAAGAAATGGCCTAATGTACCGGATCTCGAATCTGTGCAAACATATTATTGCAAATCATGATACATCTCATTTTCTTTTGAAGATGGCAAACTTAGAACCAAGGTGGTTGGTGTGAGTGGTTCGGCACTCTCATTCCTTAAGAGAGGTCAGGGGTTCGATCCCTGCTCTCGTATGGAGTCACCACTTTGGCCAGCACTTTACTCCTTACGGGCCGACCCGGTGTGAACGGGGATTAGTCTGGGTTGTGGTTAAGGCTTAAAGGTGCCATCCATAGTTGGAGCCCATCCAGGACCACCTCGTGGTTCAGACCAAAAAAAAACTTCAAAACTTAGAAAAGCTGGAATTTGCTACTTTGGACGTATATGGGAACAACTATCTATCATAGGTCCTTATGCGAAAGGTGCAATCACCAAAAGACAGTGATCCTCTCGAGAGCCAAATACGAATGGACTATTGGAATTTTAAAAAGGTTTTAAAAATTTAACCGTTTTGATTTATTTAATTATTTTGGCTGTTTTATTTTATTTATTGTGGGGGTTATAAATATTTAATTTTCAGGTTTAATTTCTATATTGAATGCCTTAATTTTCTAGTTTAATGTGGTGAAGGTTACATGTTATTGGATGCCTATAAAAGGCCATTCCTTCACATTTGAACAACCACAATACACCATCAGAATATTACATACCACAATCATCACAATCTGATTCTCTCATCTTCTACTATTTATACTTTCTCTACTTATATTATTATTTTAGGCAATGGTTATGTGACTTGATACCTATATCCGTCCATGAGCTTGCTCCTAGCGGATCTTGAGTTTGTGTACAAGGGGTCGTATCTTGGAGTTTTGTAGACCGCCAGTACCTGCACGTTGGGAGGCTACAAAGGCTTTAGGACAGCGTCTTTGACGTGTTTCACCGTACTAAACTCACCTTCTTATAATTTATTTTGCTTTTACTTACCTATCAATTTGTTTTTCTTCAGTTTCATTGTACCTTAAAAGCTTTTCAATTTGTTTATATGTTATTTATAATATAAAGTTTTTGTATTTGGCTTTACGGAAAAAGGAAAACTATAATTTTTATAACATGAACACGCCTCAGATTCTAAGATTTCAAGTCAGTGTTTGAGTATAATTCGACGATGCACATAAGTACCTTCTTGATGAAGTTATGCGGGGAGAATAATTTATAACATTATTTATTTTTATTTTTTTGGCCAAAGTTAGGAAGAGGGAAGGGAATTCTTACACTCACTGCCAAGGTGCCATGAAAATCTGAATTTGAGACCAATAATATGCAAATTAAAGTATTTTTCCACTATTGGCAATCTAGATTCACTGGTTTGGTTGGCCATAGTTCTACAAGCTCATACTGGTTTTTTTGTTTGTTTGTATGTGTCTAAAACAGGCCTCCTACTTTAGTCGAAGTTGAAATGATAGTTGACCGTTTAGCCATCCAATTCCACCCTCTCACCCTTATCCAGAGAAAGAGGGCAGAATAAGTTTGAACCTAGTGTCAAATCCAATACAATTAGTGGGGCTATGATGGCTTGCTAGACTTCTCATTGATTTTATGGTCAACAAAGTCATCATTTTTGCCAATAAGAGAGCAAAATGCCATACTAACGAGCTCTAGTGGTATTTCTCTTTTCAGTGAAGTGTCGGAGGATATCTCGATTTGAAGCCATCGCTCCAGATTGATTGATAAGAAAAAAAAGTAACAAGGGAAAGTGGGTATAACCAAAGAAAATTCCTCTACTCATATGATTGACTCAAATCACAATATTTATACCACAATCTACTCAAATTCTATTCTCTCTATATAATCCCAAATTACAAACTATTTTAGTAACAAATAAAAATAAAACACTTCAGCAAAAGCACTAATAAGTAACAACTAGGAGTTCTACACAGACACTGTCCTCAATTAAGAAAGACTTTAATTAGCAATCAAATTATAATTTATAAAAGGACACCCAAAGCAACTAGCCACAGAGAGCAGAGAGTCCACTATAATTATCTGGGTCTACCCATGTTAGATCCGGGCCCACCCTTCCCCAACCCAACTCCACTCACACCCATCTGATGAAACCCGCTCCCACCGTACACGTGTCCCTGATGCTGATGCTGCTGCTGCTGTTGCTGCTGTTGTTGCTGCTGCCAATATACCCCTGCTCCTCCACTCCCACCACCACTCTCGTACCCAACCCCACCATTCCCGCCACCTCCACTCGCGTCCTTGTCACGCGCCGCCACGCTGCTCTTCTCCCCCTCCATCTCCCTGAACCTCTGCAGATAAACCTTGAGAGGCTCCACGTACTCCTCGAACCCTAACGTCGTCATCGCCCAGAGCAAATCATCGCCGTTGATCGTCTTCCGCTTCTCCCTCTGGCACTTGTCCGAGGCCTCGCCGGTGATGAAGCTTATGAACTCCGACACGCACTCCTGCACCGTCTCCTTCGCGTCCTTGGAGATCTTCGCGTTCGCCGGCAGCGCCTTCTTCATGATCCGGCTCACGTTCGCTATCGGCAGCAGCCGGTCCTGTTCCCGAGGCGATAGCTCGCTGTTTGATTTCGTGTGCGCTCCGCCCGAGTCGTTGTCCGAGTCGGCCATTGAAGAAGCTCTTCTTCTCTTCTCTTTTTTATTCAAATTTAAAAAATTTAAAAAAAAAAATACTTCCTTTACTAATTATGGTAGAAAAATCCAGAAATTGTCTTCACATGCTGAAGCCGTCGATCAGAAAATCCAGAATTTGAAGTTGCAAATCGAGCTGAAATTTCCAGGAATTGCAAAACGAAGCTTCCAAGTTTGCAAGAAATGAGTGAGTACTTGGATTTTGGATTTTTTTTTGTTTTGTTGAGAATTTGAATTCCTGCAAATTAAGGGAAAAAAATGGAAATTGAAATTCAGTGAGAAGAGAGACAGAGGAAGAAGAAGAAGAAGAAGAAGAGTATGAGATTCCGAAAATTATGAAAATTTAAAATGGAAGGGTTTGAATTTTGGCTGAATTATGAGGAATTAGGATGAGAGAGAGAGAGAGAGAGAGGGGGGGTTGGTTTGGGAGCGAATGAGTTGGGTCCGTTGGATCATGGCGTTAATAACGCCTATCTTATGGTCACGTGGATGAATGTGGACCGTTATTTGCCGATAAGAGTTGAGTTTGCACCGACGGAAATACAGCCGTTGGATGGGTTGAGGTGGATGATCTGGACCGCGGGTTTGGTATCCGGCACGTGGTTGGTCTGACCTGGATTTCCTTTTTCAAAAGATATTCAACTTTTTGTGGGGCGCAAACTTACCTCTTCATTTTCGCACCGATAATTATGTTTTTTTTCCAACAACGCTTTGGTCAGTATCTTGTATTATATACATATTTATTCATATTTTATGAGGTTTGTTAAATTGTGCAGGCATAGAGGATTGTAAATCATGCCATATATATACCACCCCGATCACAATCTTGGCCGTCGATATCTCTACCACCATCTCTGCCACTACCCACCCACCCTCACCACCATTCCACCACCATCACCACCCCCACCACCATTCCACTGTCATCACTGATACCACCAAACAAATATAAATGTTAAATTCATTGTTTAAATCTATTATACTTTTAGAGTAGCTAAATAAGAAACTATACACATTTTTTAACATTGATTTCTATCAATTTGAACTCCTTAGAACATCTCTAAGCGCGATGTAAAATCCAACGTGACATTTTTAGCATGTAGAAAAAAATATAGCAGACTCACTCCAACTGAAATGTTGATAAAAAAATCAACACTAATGTAATAAAATAATATTTTAATTTGACGTGTGGTGGAATGTAAAACTCTATTATATGTTAAATTTCCACGTAAGCCTTCAAATTCAAATTTAATTTTTAGTATTTGACATCTCTATTGGAAATGCTCTTAGAACTTTTTAATTTCCTCATACAAATGGATGATGACACTTGCAATTTGAATAAAAGTTAGAATTTTTAATTGACATGCACCAATTCGCTTAACTTCGGAGTTCCCATAACTCCGAAGCCAATGAGCTCCCAAAAGGCCTCATGTTAGATGGAGATGGGCATGTATATATAAGGCATATCACCCCCTCTCCGTTAGTCGATGTAGGATGTTACAAGAATTGGAGTCATAAAAGTCCAATGTTAAATTTAACAAACTAGGTATCTTTTTAAATTTCAAGCTAGTGTGAGTTTTAAGAAAAGAAAACTACCATGTATGCTGTCATTAACGCAACCTCTACTACCACCATATTGCCATGGATGTCACTGCCATGAACATGCATTATCATTGTCACGAACATTTTCCATAGCCATCACCATCAGTACAACCCCCACGACCTCTACTACCACAACCTTCTTGCACTGTCATTACCACTAACACCACCCTCACCACCATTTGCACCTCAACCACCACCCATATCACCTTCGTCGCTACCACCACCCTATCATCATCGCCACTGCAACCACAAGCTCTTCCACCTTTGTCACCATCACCACCCCCACCCCAACCTTGTGGCCCTACCACTAGCAACCCACCCATCAACATCACAGATGATGGCACTGTTACCACCACCACCACTATTAATGCATTTACCGATCACCACTTCTGATTTTATAGATTTGAGGTTTCCAAAAAGATAAATGTTATATTCTGTGTTTAATACTTTTAGGTTAGTTAAACAAGAAACTTTACGACAATTAAGTCACAAAATATGAAGTTACTTTTGAGCAACACCTTGCTTTTTTGCCCAAGTTGTTTACCCTCAATGTGAGTAAGGTGTTGCCCAATATGAATCGTTAACGTTTGGGAAAAAAAAAAAAAAAAGTACCAATGGTCTCTCAAGACCGACCCAACTTTACTTTTAGTCCCTTATCTCCAAAAATTGTTATGATGGTGCTTTAACTATGTCTAGACTTTCAGAACTCGTCCTTTCCGTCAACTCCGTCAACTTTTCCGTGAAAAATAGGGCTATATATGTCTTTTCATGTGATGGGTTCTTAATAAGCATAGCCTAGCCCCAACAACCACCTCTCTCTCCTCCAGCCAACCTTCATAGACCAAACCGCATAGATTCGCCACCGACCCACCCTCACCCACAGACCCACTCCGACCTCGACCCACTCTCTCCTTCTCTAATTTTCTTCCTCCCTTTGTTCGTCAACCCCCTCGTCATCTCAATCAATTGAACAATCTGAACAAAGCCCAAAAAGATCATTGGGGAGAGAGAGAGAGAGAGAGTTGTTGTTGGGTTTGGGTAGAATGAGGTGGTGACTAGGTAAAAGTCTTATTTGCCCTTATATTTTGATATGAATTTCCCAATTTGCCCTTAATTTTAACGGAATTGACGGAAGGACGAGTGCTGCAATGCGATATCTAAATGAAGGATGACTATAACAAATTTATGAGTTGAGGGACAAAAAGTAAAGAGGTGTCTTATTTGAGGGACCATTGTTACAATAAAATGTATTTCTCATTTCCCTTTTAATTTTTTTTTTTTTTAAAATCTATAGAGGGGAGCAAACAATATCTATACACGTGTTATTTGCACTTTTCTAGCAAAGTGGCAAAGTGGGGGAGAGTGGAGTGAGGAGCCAATAGATTCACTTTTTTTGGAAAGTTTTTATTTCCATAAAATGTCATGCTTGCGGCAATAGTTTGAATATGACAAAGAATACTAAAAAAATATGAGTGTTTGTTAGAGTGTGGATATGAGTCATATCACAGTGAAATTTGATGATATTTTGTAGAAAAGTTCATTTCCAAACACTAGAAGTTTTTTTATTTTAATTAAAAAAATAGAGTGGTGATTTTCTCACTCCAATTTTATCGACTTACATTCTATTTTATAATTAAAAAATGAATGTAAGTGGATAAAATTAGAGTGGGGAAATCATTACCCAAAAAATATATTAAACTCGTTTGATGTCTAAAATTGAACTGAATTGAATTTCACTAAATTTAAGATAGAAGATGAAAGAAAACTTGTCCTATCCAGATCCCACAAAATGATATAATAACACCTTATAACGTATCCTCTCTTTAATTCGAAAAATAAAAAATCATTCATATTACCTTCGTTTCTTCCTTTAACATACGACACATTGAGTTTCGGCCGAACAAAAACAATATAAATAATTCATAATTTAAATTGTTAATATGTAACAAGAGAATTTTCAACAAACACTTATTTTTTTAAACATGACTTATTGCTTTTGTTTTTGTCATAAAGTTCATAACATGGTTTATTATTTTACGTTATGGCTTCAATGACTTCCAGCTTCACAAGCATATCCCCATTTGACACCTCTAAGTCTAAGAAGCTCATTCAGAAATTGTCTCTTTCAATCATGACACTGATGAAAATTTAGAATAAACATTAGTTTATGGTCCCAAAGAGTTTTTAGAGGGACAAAATAATCAAATGTTTAAAATTAAATACATTTTGTCAATAAAATACTGTTTGATTTGTGTTTTACTGGGCAAAGCATCAACCTCAATTCTGGTGGGGGTGTTGGTCACCACACTGACTTTCTGTGGAGGCAACTAAAGATGATACCAAAACCTTCACATTAAAAATCTTCATTACAACCGCCGACCCTTCATTATAGAATATGCTTTGTGTTTGGGCTGCCATTGTTTTGATCTCAATATTTTTTGTCAAATTTTGTTTTTACTTATTTGACACTGAGGTTGAAAATAATCTTAGTTAAACCTATGAAACTGAAATATCTTTAGAAATTGAGGCATGCGCACGATATATGACTCTTTTAAGTGACACATTGATCGGTAATCTTTTTATTATTATAATAAATTGATGTGTCTCATCATGTGCTCGTTAGTCGACAAGTTAAATCCAAGAGCTATTATGATTAACAATCATATAGTAACAATCTTTTTATTTTTTCTGATGCAAGTGACATTAGGGAAGATGGTTTTCATACACATCGTTAATGTGTCATTGTGGTTCGAATCTGAGATCCTTAGTTTGCAAATTAAAATCCTTTTCATTGGGGGCTAGACCCTGTTGACTAACAATTTATTTTTTTTCACATGAGACAGTGAAATTAAAAGTTTAGACAATTTTTTTTATACAAACAATATTCTATTTGAAATCTAAATTAGAGAGATGAGAATTCAAATTCGGGTACAGAGTGGTGCAGGGTGGGGAGCAAACCCACAAAGTGTAGATAATTATCCAAACAAATACATCCTTAACACAATAATTAATGTTGAAATTGCCTTTAAAATATTATTAGTCGGTGGTCTAAACCCGACTAGTAAGTAAATCATGTGCCATCCACTACTTATCTTATATGCTTTGTTTATTTTCTGATGATGGGACGTTGAAGTGCTCCACTTCACAAGTGGAGCAATTTGTCTTCTGCTGGACGATATATCACTACTACAAATTTACAATACATTTGTTCTTCTTTTCCTTTTTTTTTTCCTTTTTTCTCAGCAACACATTTTCTCTTTAGCAACCAATAAAATCAGTGCCAGAATTTTCATCGTCAAAATAGAAGCCAAATACAAACAACTGGGGGAATATCCAACCTATATAGGATGGGGAATGGAAAGTCTGGGAAAATTGCAAAATAAAAAATACACTATTTGAACTTAAGATTTGATAACGAAATCATCCTTACAAAAAATTAGCCAATTCAAGAATCATTGGGACACTGATTGTGATTAAAAAGAATAGGCAAATAATGGGGTAAAGCAACGGTTCCCGATTTAGTTGCAGCCTAGTTCTGAATTATTCACATGCATGTTCATATGGCCTCAAGATGCCACCTAAAGTGGTGAAATAGAATAGAAGGGTCAGGTTTCTGTCCCAAATAGGGGGAAAAGGGAGCAGGAGAGGGGCCATCAGATGGTGAACCCAGTTAGCCCAAGAACGGAAAAAGAAATGCAAGAAATTAAAAAAAAAAACAGACGAACTTTTGTGCCGAAGAACAAAAAGAATCCGTCAAATGTATGAGTTGATGCAAATCCAAAATCATAAGGCTTAAGATGC